AATGACTAACGACTCTATTTTTTTTAATTTTTTTAAATAAAAAAAGATCGTAGGGTAGAATAACCTTTTATTTCAAAGTGATATGATTATGTGAAGCAGCCGCCAGAAAAAGACCGGCAGAAAAAAAAGACCGGCAAAGAAAAACCGGAAGTGAGCTAAACTCGTATATAATGATAACTACTAACGCTAGAGATAGCAAAACATAGCTACCTATGTTTATCGGCAAGGCACGTGATGATGATGATGATCTCTGTATTGTCTGTTTTGAAAATATCCTGTGGGAAACGCACACATATTTTATATGTTCACACAAACAAAACACACACACAACACAACACACATACACTCACACACGCACAATGAGTCAATAAACATAACTAACATTATAATGGCTTGTATACTCAGTAGGTTAGGAACAATATCGTTAAATATGTATTCTTAAGCCAGGTGGATGCACGCATTTGTTGTAAGTAAGAAAATACGACACGACACACACACACCAAACACACATACACCACAAGTATGCACCACATGCTTACACCATACACTGCTCATGCCAAATACAGACACAATACGGACACCGTACGCACGCACACACGATTGTTGTGTGTCTAATGTGTGTTGAATAGAGAACATGTATGTTGGCCAGAGAAATATGAGAAAGACCAATGGTACCTGAGTCAACACTCGGACCGAGAATTTGTCGGGCTTAACATAGCACACGGAGGTGAAGCTATGGTAAGCATGAGTTAAGTCCCTGGAATAATCGCCGTGCGATTCATGTATCTGCAGAAGTATGAAGAAATCAGACTCATGGAATGAACTTGGGCAGGTCTCAAGGATAAGTCAGTTGAGAGGATACTGTCTTGCTGCGAGAATGTGTCAAGTCCTTCACTAGTCGAGAAAGCAATCGTTCTACAGCGGGGACGTGATCGTTCCTCGTCGATGTTCTGGTTGTCGACTGTCTGTTGAGGAGACTCAGCCAGTTCGAAGTGTAGGATTCCTCGTTATGTTCTGACTCGTGACTCTGTGTCGTGGAGACGTAGGAAGTGATTAACGTCTCTAGTCAGTTCGATTTTTATATGCCTGTTTAATGCAATTATTGGCCGCAAGGCCAAGCAGGGTAATTGGAAATGGTACATTACTACTGCTAGCGATAGTGTGAGTGGCTAGCCGGTTGTCGTAGACATAAAGGCGGTGATAGCTTTTGGATGCAAGGACGGCAGCAAGATTAGGCTGCGTTCAAAAGCGCCGCTTGTGATTCATGTGAAGGATGAGAGCATATTGTGTTATATAAGCTCTTGAATACCATCAGCAGGGTGCAGACTGTATCTTGTGATTTGCATTGTTGCATCCTTGTGTGTGCGTGCTGGTAGGCGCAAGCATTCTGTCGAATAAATATCCTAACGGTGAGCTAAGTGTTGTGTTGATATTTCCCCTCCTGTATACAACAACCACACACCATACACACAAACACATCACAGAACCAAACACATACCATACACACAACAAACACACACACACATAACAGCACACATACTCACCCCACACAAACCCATACACACACCTTACTCAACCACACACACACACCACACCACACACACAACATACACACAACCTCACATTCGTATATTGCTATAGGAAAGATGCGTGCTCTCAAAATTTTAACTTGATTTGCTCGCTTTTGCTTCGCTATGACTTTCAATACTGTTTACTCTTTCCACTGCCGTGGCCATACTCCATTCAACTTATGGTCAAGTGCCTCCAATATTGTTTACTGTGAAGCCTAGATGTTCAAGGTCTGGGATGTTTCTAGTTTTCATTGTATGTACATGGGAATTTTGTTCAGGTGACGTCATTACATTGTCTGGCCTCAAACTACAGAAATCTGCCCAGTTTCCTCAATAAGATCATTATCAGGGGATTTGCCGACTGACGTCATGCCTCTCCCCAATCAGCGATCTCCTGCAGCATGTATTAGTTCGCGTGCTGAAACACCTCCATGCCATGCAACAAGAATGTTGTCTTCCTCTATCCCTCATTTCACAGATCTTTCAAGTGGTCACCACATGTTCCATTTTCCCTCTTTTCATAACATGGCTGAAAAATTATGTCTGTCTCCTTATGATATCTGTGATAAGTTGTCTTCGGGCTCCCGCCTCTTTCAAAACCTCTTGGATGCTCTTTTTGGCTGTCCAAGGTTTTCTAAGCATTCTCCTGTAAAACCACATCTCTGAGGCCTCAAGAAATTGTTTGGCCTGCCTATCGGTTGTCCAGGATTCACAGCCATATGTTAAAACTGGATATATGTAGCAAGCAATAATTCTTTTTCTAACCCCCTATGACAGAGACAAATATAAGATGTCCTTCGTTTTATAAAATGCAGTTTTTGTCTGTCCTATTCTTTTTTTTTTTTCCTTTTTTTAAATCTCGGTGAAGCATCTTCAATCGGATGTTATCCATGTGCCCAGATACCTAAATTCCTGCACTTGTCCCAAAATAACACCATGGACTTCTATTACACATTTAGGAATAATTATTTTCTTTAAAACCACCATTACTTCTGTCTTTCCATTATTCAAACTGAGACCCATTCTTCCACTTTCTACCACTACAATATCTATCATTTCCCGTAGTTATTTCTGACTTGTTGCTATCAAGATTGTGTAATCAGCATAAGGTAAATTGTTTATATTTTACCCACCAACCACAGTTCCTGGCATATCAGTTAAAGGTCTCATTATATATTCAATAAGATACTAATGTCAACAAGAACGGAGATGGGACTCCTGGCGTCATCAATTCTTGTGTGCCTGATAGTACAACTGGTGAGATCACAGGAAGACCCGAACTCTAACAAAGGTACCACAGACAACATCAAAGCTGTCTTTGAGGGCAGATGTTGGGACTACGATGTCACCAAGTACAACGACTTATTACCAAGGTAACAGTTTAATTTGTCAGAAGAAACACACACACAGAGAGGACATTACTTGGAAGCTTTCCAGTCACTCAATATATTCGTCGGTCGTCAGCCTATCATCAACGTCATCATCACCATCAGCACCACCACCACTACCATCATCATAATAATTATCGCTACCACCACAATCACCATCATCATCACTATCCCCACCACACAACCCTCATCATTATCATTATCATCACCACCATCATCATCATAATCAAGACATTTCAAGACATTAAACACAAAAAAGACAGACTCACTGAACATTTTAAACAACTCGCAAAGGAGTCTAAGCACACAATGTGGGAACATTTTTGTCAAGAAATAGGTTACGAAAAATCTCTCAAAAAATTCTGGCGGCTCCACCAAAAGATGAACGGAGGCAAACAAACCTCTGTTATGCCCGAGCCTAAAGATGGACAACGGTATGGGTGTTAAAATCGGATAAAGACAAAGGGGAGGCTATCCTGCACAGATTTCTCCTGCAGACGGAAAAGAAAAGACAGGGAAGATAGGGAGCAGATGAAACAGAATTTACATGATATCCAGATGGCTGAAAATCGAGGAAGTCGATGATACAGTATACATCTCAACGGACTGCATCAAAGCAACACTGAAGACCTGTCCAGACACAGCTCCAGGTCCTGATGGCATTAGATACAGCGACTTTCAAAAGCCTCGATATGACAGATATGGATGGATGAACTATCGCACGATTTTTTAACAACACCATGAAAACTGGCATTATTCCTGATGAACTGGCTCCACAGCTATCTCCAGACCCGTTTTCCTAAGCCAGGAAAAGACCACACGAGAATAAATGGGCTATAGGATCATAACACTTCAGAAACACTGTAGGAAAACTCATGGACATCGAGAGAACGGACACCATGAAATACCTGGGCATGACATTTGACAGATGCTTGTCATACAAATTCCACGTAGACAACGTCATACTTAGAGCCAGGAAAGGTCTGACAGCACTCAAGGTGCTAGCAGCAGCTGATATTGAACAACGCCTACTTTTCCTTCTCTATTAAGGGCTTTTGCTTAGCGTCATTGACTATGGTCTTGGCCTCCTCACTGTCAGCAAAACCCAGCTAGAAAGACTGGACCGAGTACAAAATGAGGCCATGAGACTCATACTCGGCTGCACAAAAGACACCTCATGCAACGCCATGCGTTATGTCCTGGGTTGGCCGACGATGACTAGCAGATACAAAGTGGCACAAGTCAAGGCTTACATGAGGGTATCGGCAGACGCTAACCACCCATTGCACAAAGCTATATACGACACAAAAGGAACGCGTCTCAAAAGAGGCTGCTCTTGGATGGCAAAGGCTGAGAATTTGATCCAGCAGGTATGTGACCTACGCGTTATCAGGCACGGAAAAGAATGGATGAATACACCAGTAGACATGCATGGCATCTCTAAGGTTGTCATCACACTCGGAAGGTACTGTCGGGATTAGATTCCTGCGGCCGTAGACACAGAAGTAAGGGAACTGATAGATCAGCATTCAGACCCAGAAGATATCATCATCTACACAGATGGATCCGTGAAGCGCGGATCAAAGTCAGCATGGGCATACACAGCGCAAAGAAGGAGGAAAACAATACATGAGGACAGCGGCGCTTACCAGACAACCACATCACGCATGAAAATGGAAATAGCCGCTGCTTCTGGAGCTTTAGCATGGGTATCCGAGCAAACCAAAACGCAGGCAGTAATTGTCTCAGACTCAATGAATATGCTTCAGAAGATAGCAACAGGCAGTATGCGCTCTGAATGGATAGAAAGCATTCGGAAATCGCACTTAACCTCCGTAACCTGGGTCTACACACCGGGTCATGCGGGCGTAAAGGTAAATGAGCGAGCGGACCAACTGGCAAACACTGCACTAATGATTGCGGGAAAAAGCATGGACAGAGCAGATATCGTCAACGCTGTACGGACTAGGCTAGTGGATAATGACGAATCCCTGACACTAACACGATTGCGTGACATGGGAGTTAAGCATGGTGAAGCACGTCTTTGCCGTCTTCGGGGCCGAGAAAGGAGACGATACAACCAGCTTCTCATGGGGACAATTAGTAGAATTACTTTGGAGTGGCTGCTGCTCGGAGGACTGCGCACGCATCGGTATGCCCATTGTGCAGTGACGTTGACTGTGATAACAAAACATAAAATAACATCATGTAGGGAGTCGGCATTGTGGGTTTCACTGGCTACTTCCATTCTGTGTGAAGTAACAATGTCTTTGATACTCGCTATTCAAGGTTCTTCTTTGTGGGCCCATTTCTCTAAAATGCTTAAAAAAAAAAAAAAAAAAAAATTGGGTCTTGCCTTCGACTTGAATGAGTTAACCGACAATTAAAAATAAACAGCTAAACAAGATTCTGCTTACGACACTAATGAGTTAATTTGCAATTAAAACATGACAAAACAAGGGTATGCCTCCGACTGGAATCAGTTAATTAATAATTAAAACATGACAAAATAAGGGTATGCCTCTGACAGGAATCAGTTAATTAACAATTGAAACACGACAAAACAAAGGTATGCCTCCAACTGTAAACAGTTAATTAACAATTAAATCATGACAAAATAAGGGTATGCCTCCGACTCGAATCAGTTAATTAACAGTTAAATAATGACTGGACAAGGTCCTGCTTCTAACAATTTTAAATTTGACTGAAGAGCAGGGATATTCAACTTGCGGCCCGCGGACCAAATCTGAGAAATGGCAAGTAGTCCGCTGATCCCTGCCAGTTGTATCAAATTAATTGTTTGCCTATGCCAGGATTCAGGCTTTTGGCCCACTGCGATCCCTATTTTCAAAATTGTGTCCCCTGAAATAAAATGGTTCAGCCATCTAGTGAGAATGCAGCCAGACTAAACTGCATATGAGACTTTTTAACAGCAGAACATCAAGGAGGAAGGCAAGAGACAGACCAAGAAATATACTGATAAATGATGAAGCAGAAACCTGCAAAAAAATTAACAAATCCGTCACCCAAGAATCTCAAGAAAAATACAGAAAACCACAACACTGGGCTATAACCTGGTATCAGTGAGACGATAAAACCATGACACTGGGCTACAACCTGGTATCGGTGAGACGACAAAACCACGACACTGGGCTACAGCCTGGTATCAGTGAGAACACAAAACCGCGACACTGGGCTATAACCTAGTATCAGTGAGACAACAAAACCACGACAATGGGCTACAACCTGGTATCAGTGAGACAACAAAACCACGACACTGGGTTACAACCTGGTATCAGTGAGACAACAAAACCACGACACTGGGCTACAACCTGGTATCAGTGAGACGACAAAACCATGACACTGGGATACAACCTGGTATCAGTGAAACGACAAAACCACGACAATGGGCTACAACCTGGTATCAGTAAGACAACAAAACCACGACACTGGGCTACAACCTGGTATCAGTGAGACAACAAAACCACGACACTGGGCTACAACCTGGTATTAGTGAGACGACAAAACTACGACACTGGGCTGCAACCTGGTATCAGTGAAACAAAAAACCACGACACTGGGCTACAACCTGGTATCAGTGAGACAACAAAACCACGACACTGGGTTACAACCTGGTATCAGTGAGACAACAAAACCACGACAATGGGCTACAACCTGGTATCATTGAGACGACAAAACCACGACAATGGGCTACAACCTGGTATTAGTGAGACAACAAAGAAAAGAAGAGAAGAAGAAGAAACCCCCTGAGTGTACTCAACTATATAGCCCTACTGTAGAGTAAGCCAACAGATGCATGAAGAGATCTACGGATTCCCCAGAAATAATGATAATTTTGATACGATGCTTCTCATGACATAGTTTTTAGGACAGTATTTTAAAAAACGCAGGCTTAAACAGATGCATAGCAGACAGTACTGTTGGGCACACAACGCCAGGCTCTAACATAATAAATATTCGTCGTCCCAATATGGAATACATTTTTTGTCGTTTAAAACCCGACCCTAGCTGTTGCCGGAGGCCTCAATGTAACCTAACGGTTGACGGGGTTTCCGCAACTTCTCCATGGGTAATCCTCGTCCGAATGGTGGCACTTTGTGTAAAAGGGTGTTTATCGCTTAGTGTGATGTCCTGGTGGGGTAGAAAGTCACAATACCATGAGATGTGACAGTGGGTTCTCTTTTTCCTTGTTTGTGAGTATTCGAGCGACTTGGCAATATTAACTTTGTTTAAAAAAAAAAAAAAGGTTTCGTCTGCATAAATAATATTCTAAACTAAAGGTCAGTGCTAAAAGCATATTTAAAAAAACAACAACAATAAATTCTAGTTTTATACAGACATACAGTTATATAAACTGTATACACGAGGGAACCTGAACGGTCGTAGACCAGAAGGCAGACCAAGAAAACTAAGGGGAGATAATGTCCAGACAGACCTGCAAACACTTGGTGTCACCAACTAGAAAGAGAAGGCCAATCAGAAATATGAATGGAGGCGGGTGATGTCTACAGCAGGGAATCTCAAAGGCTCGGAATGCCGAAGAAGAAGAAGAAGAAGAAGAAGAAGAAGAAGAAGAAGAAGAAGAAGAAGAAGAAGAAGAAGAAGAAGAAGAAGAAGAAGAAGAAGAAGAAGAAGAAGAAGAAGAAGAAGAAGAAGAAGAGGCAGAAGCAGAAGCAGAAGCAGAAGCAGCAGCAGAAGCAGCAGCAGCAGAGGCAGAGGCAGAGAAGAAGAGCAGAAGCAGAAGCAGCAGCAGAAGCAACAGCAGCAGCAGCAGCAGCAGCCGCTGCCGCTGCTGGCAGAGGCAGAGGCAGAGGCAGAGGCAGAAGCAGAAGCAGAAGCAGAAGAAGAAGATTATTTTAGGGGGAAAAATCACACACACAGACGTACACACACTGGTTTCAATGTGTGTGATTGTGTGTGTGTGTGTATAGATATGTGTGTGTGTGTGTGTGTGTCTTTCTGCCATGTATCCCTCATGGAATATGGGCCATCAGTGTTAACTAGCTCCTAATTTTTCTATCCTTTGTTATGCACGCTGCCCAAACGGTCTTTTTCGTCTATCTTACTTATTTTCTCTCCCTCTCTTCATGCGCGCGAGCGCGCGCGTGTGTGTGTGTATTGTCTGATATTTCGTTAGTCTCCCCAAACAGAGTAGTTCACTTTTTATTCACAAGTTTGTTGGGCTGGTCGACTTTTCTGTAGGTTACGGGTGTGTTCCGCTCTATTGTTTAGTTTCTGCGATGTATTTTTATTCCGAAAAAAAAGATGCCTGTGACATAAGTTGCAGCACTCCCCGCGGGGGGGGGGGGGGGGGTTGTGTTAGACCCAGTTTCTCCATGTTTTTGGAGTGTTAAAAGTGCTGACGTGCTGAAATATACTATAAGCGTGTGCGAAGGACACGTGGCTCATGAACTACCAATCAGGAGTGAGCTAGTGTATATATGGAACTGTCAATCAGAAGTGAGCTAGTGTGTATAAGAGCGGGGTCTGGGGAGACTAACGTCTAACTAACCGATATTTCTAATTCCCTTTCAGAATTGACGCGGATTGTAACGTACTTTGGGATAAATTTTCTCAAGCATTTTCCTTCAGAGCACCGTGTGCAGTAAAACTATCAAGCTACGAGGAGTTCATGTCATTAGCAAAGCAAAGCTTGCCTGCAAACAAGGTTTGTCTCCGATAAATTTGAGACATAGTGAGAAAGAGAGACACAGAGAAAAATGGGAAGAGCTTGAGATTGAGAGAGGATAGAAAGGCGAAAGAGACTCATCTAAATGATGAGGTTGTTGATGACAGCGGTGTTGACTGTTATTATTATATAATATATGTGGTTGTGATAATTAGGGTAATGATGATGATATGTGGTTGTGATAACTAGGGTAATGATGATGATGATATGTGTTTTTGATAACTAGGGCAATGATGATGATGATGATATGTCGTTGTGATAACTAGGGTAATGATGGTGATGATATGTGGTTGTGATAATTAGGGTAATGATGATGATGATATGTGGTTGTGATAATTAGGGTAATGGTGATGATGATATGTGGTTGTGATAACTAGGGTAATGATGATGATAACGATGACGATATCGTTTAGTGATAACGTTGGTTTCTAATAAAATAGAGCATACAGTATAACTGTATCACTTCATGTTGCTAAGAAGCTCAAAACAATTCATCACTCAAGTTATTCAAAATATCGAGCCTAGGATCTTCTGAGTGCAAGGCAAATTGTTTGACCACTAAGCTAAGGTGACAGATACCCTATAGATGCTTACTGTGTGCAAGACAAGCTCGATCAATCGGGTTGTCCCCCATCGGGCGGCTACTCGTTTACCAGTTTGAAATGCCCGGCTTTCTAGCGTGGTATGGCTAAACCGGATTGCGCGGTGACCGGGTGACGAACTCCTTGTGGTCCGGGTTCACTCCTGGGGGTAGGCAGAAAAGCCACATTTCTCCCAGATTTACGGTATTTACAATGGAATCAAGGCCGAAAGGTTGCGATATCCATAATACCGAGCCTAAGGGTTGACAACTCATGGCTTCTGGATATTAAAACAAACAACAAACAAACAAACCAGTTTGAAATTTAAAAACAAATATATACATTTAATTTGGATGGCAGACCAACAGGGAAGATTCCATATAGCTCGTTCAACCTCAACAAAAGTTATATTTAGAGTACTTGTAACTGCTACACATGACAAGCAATCCTTTGCGGGTATGGACGATGGAGACAGATAAGTCTTTTCTATATTTTAAATATAAGAATAGGCAGCTGCATGGTATCGAGGCATAGTGTCCGCCTCGAGTGCTAGAGGTTCCGGGCCCAATCCCCGGCAAGGGCTGGGATTTTTTTTTTCACGTGGACTTAGAATTCTAGTAATTTCCCTGGGTCTCTGGGTAGTGAGATCAGACGCCCGTGTGCATTGTTGCGCACGTAAAAAGTCATTTGGAAGTTTAAAAGAGTAGCCTAACTGCGCTGCAGGGGTAAAAATTTGGAGTTTAAAATCTACCCAAAGTATTTCAGGATCCTCGCCGGTGCTACAGAGCCTATGCACTGTGCTGAGCTTCCTCGGACTCAGACTTAAGTAAGATGAAGAACGAAGCACTTATGGGTTTTACCTGTGTGATGTGTTGATTCGTTGTTCAAACCTCAAACCTCAAATGAAAGAATATGCACGCGCATTGTTTTCACAATTATTTTGAAATGCAAGAAGACGGTTGGTTGTGTCCGCTGTAGAAATTAAGGACAATTATCCTATTTACTGTATGCAGCAAGACAAACAAGTAGAGACAGAGTTACCAACGTAAGACTAAGCACAATGGGGGGCACAGTACCGGTAAATGATTACATAGAACATCAAAGCATCAAATAGTTTCGCCATCTGGTCAGAATGAAACCAAATCAGCCAGCGACTAAAGCGTACTACATGAGAACAGCAGGCTACAAAGGCAAGAGGCCGACAAAGATGGGCATGGACCGACGAAGTGAAAGAGACACTACAGAAACACATTATTAATTGTTTAAAGATTATCTTCATTGCACATCAGACATGACCATTAGTGCTCCAGTCTTCTCCTGAGCATATATCCAAGTGATTTTAGGTTGACGGGAAACTCCTGTCTGATGATTCACGGAATAAGAAGTAGGACACAAGAAGAAAGAGTAAGGTTATTTTCTTTGGTTGTTAGAGTGATAAGACAATTTTGACAGGAGTTAGTGGTGAAATAGACAATGAACAACATGTTTTATTCACATACGTATCCAAGTACACTCACTTCTGTGGCCTGGTGATACAAACGCGGTTTAGAATTCCAAAATACTTAGTTAAATTCATCCGAGGGGATTTGACAGCAGACCCTTTGCACTGATTTTTTTTTTAAAAATGCATGAAACGCCGAAGGTTAAGGCTACAATTGTAATATAGTCATCTCCCAGTAGATTTTTCTTTACAGAACGTCGCCCTCTTCACAAAATCCCCTGAGGTCTATGTGGAGCCAATTGTCCAGCCCTCTGTGATGTCGCCTTGGTGGTCAGAACTGTTGAAATGGAGGGAGAAGAGTACTAAATTAATGTTAATAGTTCTAACCACCAAGGCGAAGACGATATCTCAGTCACTGCTATTAAATCCTGCTCTGGTGATCAAACTAGCTGCTACTCATTAGAAAATCATTTCATTCATATTTTTTGCGTTCTTGGTCCTGGAGGGATCAATATTCAAGACAGCTTTGTTTAATTTTATTTACTTACTTGCTCGTTTATTTAACTTATCCATATTTCTTCCCCCTTTTTTTTCACACCGCCTTTTTTATTTAATGCGTTTGGTATTATAGCCTTCATATTCATAACCCCTCCCCCCCCCACCAATTACCTACATCTTGGTTTCATGTTGACCTTGGTCTGTTGTCTTAACTGTTGAGTTTTCAGTCACAGTTTTTGCTATATTTAGTACTCTGTTGATGAAGTCTTTGGTCGAAACGTTCGGTTGTGTTTGTGTGCGTCTTTTCCATTCCCTCCGTTGAGCTTTCTAGTCACATTTTATGTTGTATTTAGTATTTCTTGCAATCAGCTTGACTGCAATCCCCCCCCCCCCCCGGGGTCCCCATTTACGTCATTACCTGAGGTACATGCAGTTGTGTATACCCGCATTTCATTTTAATTGCAAAATGAAGCAATCCAGATGCTTACTTCTATTTCAGTTAACCAAGAAGACCCATTGAAACAAAAAATTTTTGAAATTAATTAATTAAAAAAGCAAAAAAAAAAACTAGATGAAATATTTCTGACAAATTAAGAGACACAGCACATCTTGATCCAGTGAAAACCAAATGCAGCCAGCCTTCATTGTTTATATGCTACATTGGTCAGTCGAAACTCAAGTTATATCCACGTTTATACTAAAACGCTGCGTTGCTTTTAGTTGCATACCCATCTTGAGACTTTGCAAACCACTCCCACTATTTATTGTTGTGTGTTTTTACAAGACAAAGTTCATTAGTTACCACATTCATTCATTCATTCATTCATTAATTCATTAATTCATTCATTCATTCATTCATTCATTCATTCATTCATTCATTCATTCATTCATTCATTCATTCATTCATTCATTCTCTATCATGTTGTGCCATGATATGTCACATAGGGCTCGCTGTCTATTCTTCGATTCCGTCCTATCATTTGCAATCAGTTTAATATCATGGATAGAATCCAGTCCAGCTGCTTTGGTCTCTCTCATCAACGTTTGTCCTAGGGTTTCATTTTTTGGACGTTTTCACCTCCTTAATCCCTCAATTTCCTTTTTTAATGCCTTTTTGGTGATTCTCTGCTCATTTATTCTCATGATTTTTACGAAGTAGCGAGATTCTTCTATACCTTGCATCTGTGGATTTTAGAGTTGCCAAGATGTTTCTCTTTATTTTTTTTTTCAACTGCTTTTGAATGTATTCAGTTTCTCTTTCCTTATTTCCCTAGGCATTTGTTTTTGAATGCATTTAACTTTCGTTCAATTTCTTTGGCGGTTTTCCAACATTTACTTGCATATGTTGGAACTGAACTAACATGAGAACTGAAAATTAGTTAGTTATTCCTCTTGTGCCAAAGATGGCGCATAGGGCAGAGGTCATAGCTTTCCACGTCTGTCGGTTCTTTGCCACTTGATGTAGGTCTTGAGTGCGACTGAGACCTATGGTTGAGCTCTCCCTTGTGATGGTTCTACGGAGAGTTTCTTTTGGTCTTCCCTGTTTTCTTTTACCCCCTGGTGACCATACGAAGGCTTGGTGGGGAAGTCTCTGTATGTCCATTCTGAGTACGTGACCGATGTAATTCCAGCGACGCTTTCTAATAAAATCAGACACATATTTTTTTTTGTTTCCTGTTTATTGATGTTTGGACCTAAAGTCCGACCAGTGAACATTCAATAGCTTTCGGAGGCATCTATTCTCGAAAGCGACTAGTTTCTTATCGATTGATACTGATGATTTCCAACTCTCACAACCATAAGTTAACACTGGGATCACACAGGAATTGAAGACCTTAAGTTTCGTGTTGTTGCTGAGTGATCTTGACTTCCAAATGTTTGACAGTTTGTTAAAGGCACTTGAAAATACTGAAAATACGTAGCCTGATTTTAAAACTTTACAATTAAGAGTTTTAAAAGCTGCTGGAGACTTTATAATTTATTTCTTTCTTTTTATTTCCTTCACTGTCAAAATTACATCCTCAAAAAGTAAATTGATCTGTTACTTTAATTACTTGTGTCTCTCGTGTTAGACCTGCCTGATCTATTGCTGGTGTCTTCAATATATATATATATCTTTTCCTAACTTATTTGTAGTCCAACCCTTAATGTTATGTTTGCTGAATCCTCTGTATTCCGTTGCATGTCATTTCTGTTTTTATTTAGCAGAACACTAATATCAGCAAAATGACGACCACCCGACTGTGCATCCTCAACCAAGTCAATTGTTGTGTTTCCAACACATTTTTTTTTCATCACCCAGTCAATTTCGGTGTATCCAACATAACATTTTGTTCATCACCAAGTCAGTGCCGGTGTTTCCGTCAGCACATTTGTTCATCACCCTGTCAATGCCGGTGTTTCCGTCAGCACATTTGTTCATCACCCTGTCAATGCCGGTGTTTCCGTCAGCACATTTGTTCATCACCTAGTCAATGCGGTGTTTCTGTCACATCATTTGTTCATCACCTAGTCAATGCCGGTGTTTCCGTCACATCATTTGTTCATCACCTAGTCAATGCGGTGTTTCTGTCACATCATTTGTTCATCACCTAGTCAATGCGGTGTTTCTGTCACATCATTTGTTCATCACCCTGTCAATGCCGGTGTTTCCGTCACATCATTTGTTCATCACCTAGTCAATGCGGTGTTTCCGTCAGCACATTTGTTCATCACCCTGTCAATGCGGTGTTTCTGTCACATCATTTGTTCATCACCTAGTCAATGCGGTGTTTCTGTCACATCATTTGTTCATCACCCATTGTGGTGGGATACTATCAGTGGTGGTGATTGCAACACATCATTTGTTCTTTAGTTTACACACACTTTTAAGTAAATTCCCAGTGTCGGTCCATTATTTAGGGAAAGGAGAATATAATCCATGCCCTTTCATAAGCATGTCGTAAAAGGAATCGCCGCCCAAGTGCAAATTACAACACATCGTGCTAACTTGTAAGGTTGAACAAAGGAGCAGTCTAAGTAAATCAGAAATACTGGTTAAGCAGTGCCTGTCTGTTCTTCAGGTGATGTTTTGGTCAGGTATCTTCAGTCTGGCACACAGATACTCTGAAAACGGCGCCAGATTCATTACACTGGAGGACACCATGATTGGCTACTTGGCCAACTCACTCACCTGGTGTGGTCAAGAATCTCCACCGGGAATCAACTACTCCAGCTGCCCTGACTGGTCCGACTGTCCGACAGAGGCCAGTGAGAGCTTCTGGGCTGGGGCTTCAGCGACGGTGAGTCCAGGCGCGTCACCACCGAGAAGTCTCTTGTGTGTGTGTGTGTGTGGGTGGGGGGGGGGGGGTGCTCAGCTTCCAATAAATTTATAAAAATATGACATTGTTTATGTGCATAATAATAATGAGGAGTGGCAAACAACTAAGTTATATGCTTAAAATAATACAAATGTGTAAACAAATACTTTTAAAAATCGTCTATAAATGATTATGGGGACCTATTTATCCTTGCAAACCCCGTCGCCCACAGGAATTATAATAACATCTTAGCCCTCTATAACATGGGGGTAAGGGTGGCTTAAAGGTGGGTGGGCCCTAGGCTCCAGCCCCTGTGGGCGAGTCTGTTTCAAAAGAGATCACGTCGACTAAAGTTAACTTAAAAGGAAATACAGATAAAGAAATTATGACACACACTGGCAAGGCTTGAAATACCTCGAACAAAATATGCAATTCTAAATTATATAGTTCAACAACCAAGTTACATATTTTCAATTCTAATGTTGTTTAACTTCTAGTAAAATTTGGAGAAGCACTAAAAACATAAAACGAAAGTTAAGTGCATTCGAAAACAAATGTCTGAAGAAAATGATGAAAATAAATTGGTATAAATTCAAAAGGGGTAAAACAATTCGAGAAATGCATGGAAAACCCCTTGTATCAAGTGTTATAAGACAGGCAAGACTCGGCTAAAATATTATCCAACACCAGTTCTGCCACCAAGTGGTTATATTCCCAGATGCGCTATCGATGCTTCAAGAGTAGCATACTCCCTTACTTGAGATTGTGTTATTCATTATATTCAACGTCGTTTTTAGGATGCAATTTTTCGTTAATTGAAGCCCCACCCTGGCTCTTGTCGGGGGCCACAATATAGCCAGGCCATAAATATGACCTAATGGCTGAACGCGGTTTCTGGGACGTCTCCTCGGTGATCCTCATCCACATGGTGGCACATTGTGTCATCCGGTGTTTATCGCTTGTGTGATGTCCTGGTGGGGTAGAAAGTCAGTCAGATGGCAAGATGGCCGCCAAAAAGTGTACTGTACTCCAGTGGGTGCCATCCAACTGTGGTATACCAGGAAATGAAACCGCAGATAGACTTGCTAAGAAAGGGGCAGAATGTGATCAGGAAGAGAATGCAGTAACATTCTATGAGAAGAAAAGGGCCATCCAGTCTATTAGAAATGAAACAGAGTCTGGCCAGAGATGACTACCACTTACTTGACCGGCATAGGCAGGTCTTTATCCTACGTTTCATGACTGGACTTAACAGACTTAACCAGCCTTTGCACAGGCTTCGTCTAAGTAGTTCACCTTTGTGCCCTTGTGGACTATGTGTGCAGACTACAGAACATGTCCTGCAAGAATTTCCCTTGTTCAGCCCATTAAGAAAGGAATACTGGCCCAGAGAGTCGCCACTGTACACAAAGTTGTATCGGACTAAAAAGGAACTCATAAAAACAGTCAAGTTTATCACAAGAACCTGTCTGTCGGTGTAAATCAGAAAGCGAACACAAGAAGAAGAAGACTCGACTACATTGGACACACCCTGAGAAGAAACCAGCAGAGAATCACAAAATAGGCATTAAAATAGGAAAAAAACGGATTAATTTAGCGAGGACAATTAAGGAATAGACTGCGAGCCATATGTGACGACTTGCAAATGACTTGACAAT